ATATTTAAATAACGAATAAATATTTATTAATCTGTACTATATGAGTATGTAAATTTTATAATTACTCCTAAACACAATAGAATTGGGAATTTTGTTTGACGTATGAATCTTGTTAGCTTTTTTTCGTTTGTTTGTTTGTTTGATCGATGACTAACTTAGTTTTGTTGCTTTTGGATGATTTCTGAGAGGTTTATGATGGCTAATTCCCATGGCTAATTGTCGTGAATGGTGTTTGCATTCTTCTTGAGGGAGTGTAATGAATGGGTACACCAGTAAGCGGATTAAGCATATGATCTCAGAGTTCGCCGGTCAATTAGTGATAAATCGGCTCGGAGTGATGCGAACGTAAGAATGCCACAACAGCTGAGCGAAGCTGTGTCCACACGTCCACCCGCAAACAATTTCGCAATGAATAATTCAAATCGGCTTTATGAACAAATAGTGGAATCCATTAGAGCGGCTGCGACAACCCACGACGTCAACAAATAATACACTCTCCTTCTTCTCACCACATCAACTTTCCATCAACAATCGATGTACAAAACCCGATCAAACCGGGATACCGGAATCTACTTCAGGCTGGTAATTATTGGTGCTGTAATAATCATAATAATTATAATGGGATGCATTCACCAAACCCATGCGGATTGCAACGCGCGCTCTCCCTATGTTATGATGATGATCGTGTGTTATGTAAGCGGAGTCAGGCGTATTTGTTTACATTTTCCGGACGCGACGCCGATGGGTGGGTGACTACCGGCGACCCATTATCATCGCCATTGAAATTTTCCAACGGAAAACCGTGAGAATGACATTATCCGCAAACTGATGACACGATGACATCAGCTCCTATATACGTGTATGGTAATTCGATGATTTCAGGTGCAATTACTCTTTCGTTACGGCTTAAGTAATCCGATTTTAATTTGTTTTCGGTTCCACGATCCGTATCGCTCGCATCCAAAGCATCGACAAGATTTCTTTCATATTCAATTCATTGTTGTTTAAAGTTTTCTAAAAACATAACGATTTTTGCAAAATTTAACTGGTTTACAACGAAACGAGTGTATCTATGTTTAGAGGAAGTAATTAAGAATGCAGAAAAGATAAATTCCTAGTGTAAGTATGGATCTTGGTAGTAAGTGTTAAAGCTCCCACCTATTATTTTACGTGCCATATCCGGTGTACCAATTCGCCGGCGACCCACGCTCGGAAATAAATCAAACTTCGCTATTCCGCACTCTCCATTATCGACATCATTATACAATCACGTCTCGCCTCGAATCACACGACCATTCAATCACTACAAATCAGTTGAAAACATTTTGTTAAAAACATAATATTATACGACTATTTCCGAAATCGGAAGATGTAAATATGTATAAACACAAGTGAATATTATTAATCTTTGGTTCATGTCCTATAATGTCTGACCAACGTAATTAATAATTTTCCACTCAATCACTAACTTACGTAATTGACATACCCAGGACAATTACTTTGAGAGAACTTCAAGAAAAAACAAACTGATATCATGTGGATTACGTCAGCCGATAATAACAGTAATTTTCAAATCAGAAAATGTCAGACAATTATTATTATTGAATATCGTTTTTTTTTTTCTACTTGCTTCATATACGTATAGATTCATATATTCATTCATTGAATTATGTTTATAACAGTGTCTATATTTGATAATTGATAATATAAAGTTATATTTTCCTCTGTGTAAGTAGTAAAATATTTCAATGCAGCAACGAAATTGAATAAACTATGCTCCACTGGCAAAGTAATTTAATTTGCGAGCTATTTATTTTCGCAGAGAAAAACGGAAATCTCGTGAAAATATTTACGTTACATATCATATCATGGCAGAGATTCTATCAATAGATACTTATGTAATGCACGCTAAAATTCTATCAATCTATTTTAAAAAAATAAATCGTTAAAAATTTAATATGAAACTTCATGAGGAATTTATAGAAAAATAAATTTTAATTATGTGAAATTAAAAACCAATGTAAATACAGCAATATCCGTATCTAATTCAAATGTTCTACCATATTATTCTTAATATTAAATATTAAGTAAAGTTTTTTTTTTAAATAAACATAAATTTGAAATAACCATCAAATCACGTAAATAATTATAAGTAAAAAAAATATGAATCATTATATAATTTCACTGTTTGTTTATCAATATGTGATTATTATTTAAGTGATATTTAATATAGGATTAGAAATGTGATAGTAATTTGAGGATTCTAAATATCATTAATTGTGTTAAGAATTAGTTGGGGGGAATGCAGTCGTCTGGATTCGATTGTAGGTAAATGTGTATGTGTGTGCACACAGAGAGGATTCTGCACGTCCTCCAGAAAGTTGTGTGGTGTATGGTAGGTTGGAAACAGTAATTGGGTAATAAATGTGATCTGCAGAGGAGTTTAAGCCGAACATGTTTAAGCCAATGTAATAAAGTGAGCTGCTCTCCGCAGCGCCAGCCAGTGTGTGTGTAACAAATAAAAAAGGATGAATTCACTCCTACCACAAACGGTAAATCATCGGTGCCTGGGTTCTTTATGGACACGGTCTTGGTGATAAATAAAGACGATCGGTTGCTGGGTGAATGATGTTCCCCATATCAAATATATTATCTGTCCGCTTGTGCAAATTGGCCAGTTTTGAGTTTGCGAAGGCAGCGGCGCCCCCTCGGGGTTGAGTAAAAATAAGTGTTATTTGCAAGCCGCCCACACGAACGTGTCCCACATTTCTTTTTATCAATCTCCTCCACTTCATATACTTTTT